TCTACCACTAAATCAAAATTCTCTCAACTACCATCTACAGACCTCTAGATTACTTTTCATTTCCTCAATAAGCCTGGCTCTTTTCTCCTCAACTTCTGCACTCATGCCAGCAGACTTTAACATACATATTGATAACATTCTAAAGAACTGATGGATGAAGGAACAAATTATAGAAACAATAGAAAATTTCATCAAAGAAAATAAAAATGAGAAAACATACCAAATTTAATGAGATGCAGCTAAAGCAGTTCTGAGAGGGAAATCTATATCTCTAAAAGCAAGAAAGAACACATCAATTAATTGGGCATGAACTAAAAAAATTTTAAAACTTGAACAACATATCAAAAACCTTCAACAAAGCAAAGAAAATAGAAATTGTGATAATTTTTGAAAGATTAATAAAACTGAAAGCAATGAATATTGAAAACATAAAATTCCAAGGCAGTTTAAAAAAACTAATAAAATAAATAATTGGATAGTCTAATTTTAAAAATAACAATTAAAGAGGAAATAATGGGAATTATCAGAAACTCTTTTGTCCAAATAAATGCTAACAAAACTGATAACTAAAGCAAAAAATGAATACTTAGGAAAATATAAAATACTCATGAATGGAATGTGGTGAAAACCCCTCATAAAATCTAAACTCAAAATACAGGCCTTTTGCCCAACTGTGTGAACAAATGGTTGTATCGCGTCTGCAGGGGACCCTGGGTGGGGTGGGAACAGGAATTCTGCAGGGATTTGCAGAATTCGAACATTTCAAGACAACCACATCTGTTTGTCACTTTCTCCAGGAAGATTTACCTTCAAAGCTTGGGGGGTTGGGAGATGAACTGCTGGGAAGGGCCTTACAAAAACCTGCTGTATCTATGTTCAGGGCACTGAGAGGTTTTTCAGGGCGGGTCGCCCTTTCTGGTGAGATAGTAATAAAAATTCCTTTCTGCCTTCTACCTGGAGACGCCTCTGAATTTACTGGAAATAAGGATAGCAGTCCCACACACTCAGATTAACAAAGGAAATAGACTACTTAAAAAATTCAATACCAGAAAAATAAATTCAGCATCATAAATGAACTCCCAAAAAAAAAAACTCCACAACCAGATGGATTTGCAATTCTATCAAACACTCAAAGAATGTTTCAAAGAAATTAATGCTAATACTGTATAAACTATTTGCAATAATAGGAAAAGAAGGCAGTCATCCAAATTTCATTCTATGGTGCAGACAGGGGCTTGATACCTAAACTAGGGAAAGATGAAGCAGAGAAAAAAATATAGACCAAAATCATTCCTGTGAGCCTTAATAAAAGATGTTAGATATTAGCAAACAGGCTACAACAATTTATTAGAAAGGTTACATTTTATGACAATTTTGGATTTATACCACGAATGCAAGGTTAGTTTAATATATAAGACTATAAAAATAATATAACATCTTAATCATATAGATAGTAAAAATGACTCATATCTCAATCTCCACTATATGCCAGCCTGAACGCCATATTCAACTCCTTAAAGACAATGATAAAATACTTTAACATACTACCACTCTACCATGTCCTCTCCATCCTAGTCACTCTGAACACTTAGCTGTCATTATACGTACTCTGTTTTCCACCCCTTACTGACCATTCACTTATTCCTATTCCTTCAACCCAACCCCTCCAACTTCCCACACTAAAGTTACCCAATCCTTCCACTGCGCTCTCTGAAATTTCTGCTCCATAGGTAACAAATGAAGATGTCACCATAAACATTTCCTTTTTTCATTACTTTCATCTTTATGCATTCATTGAGACCTAGACCTCTCCTGGTTACAGTGAAACCCGGCTACCATTTCTAATACTGGTTGCACTTTCATTCATATTCCTTGACTCACTCATTTTAGTGGGGCAGTCAGAATATTTCATGATCCTCACACAACTTCCAGATTCTCCTTTTACCACCATGACTCCATAATCTCACCTCCTTTGATGTTCATTCAATTCATATTTATCACCCAATCAAGATTCTGGTAGCTGCCATCTACTGACTTCAAGGATACTCTTCTTCCTTCATCTGCCTCAGTCTTTCTCTTCTTCTCAAATCCTAACCCTCATACTAGCAGATTTCAATATGTATTGATACTCACTCAAATACCCTTATCTCTTAGTTCCTCAGTTTACTAATTTTTCAAGACCTACTCCCTACACTCTACCTTAGCTACACAAAGATGGTCATACACTTGAGCTTGCCATCACCTACAAATGTACCACTTTCACATTCATAAACTCTGAAATTCCATTATCTAATCATAACCTGTTGTCTGTCATTCCACCTTTCTGTCTGCTTTACAACCTGCTCTTCATCAGTCTCCCCACCCTTCAGTTCTTTCCTAGGCCATTCCCCTTGCACTAGCTACATACTCCACTCTTCCCCATCTTGACCCCCTGGTGAACAACTCTACATTCTCCTCTTCTCTTGAGTCCATTACCCACTTAGCCTATAACTAATCTTGCCCTACGAAGTTTTAGCCTTGGGTTTACTTAGACTATCCATTGCTTTCACTTCTATTCATGTGCAACTGAGTGAAGATGGAGAAAACCAAAAAAAATGCTCAATTGGGTCCATTACAAATTTATGTTGCATAACCTCTACTGGGTCCTCACCACTGCAAGGCAATCATTTTACACATCTCTAATAGATTCACTATCCTTATCACCATAGCAGCTCTTCCCATCTTTTTCATCCCTGCTCAAAATCCCAATGGCTTCTCCTCCTATCACTCTCTCAGCTAAGAATCTTGCCTCATATTTCACTGAAAAAATTGAAACCATTTCCTGTGAGTTCTCTCTTCTCTCCTACTTCATCTCACATGAATCAAATGTTTTCCACTACCATCTCTTCCTTCAGCTTCACCATGACCTTTCTCCTTGCCAAAGCAAATTTCTCTACAGGCACACATTGATCCCACCATTACACCCCATCTTCTTCAGACAACTGCCTCCTCTATTATCCTCAGTCTCCACTAATCTTTAATCTCTTTTTGCCTATTGGCTGCTCCCCTTCTGCCTACATGCACATGTTTTTCCCATCCTTCAAAAAATCCTAACTTGACCCATCACCTCTCCAGCAGCTACTGTACTATAACTCTTCTGATTCTACTTTCATAAGAAAAGGAGTCCTGTTTACTGAGATAAGTTAAATGCTTCACTACCTAGTTAAGTAACTTTTCAGTGCTACTGCTAAGTAAACTTCTCTCTCTTGAGAGAAGTGACCTACAAGTGTCACATTTCATTCCAATAATGAATTAAAAAAAATTTACTCTGGTGTGAGATAAGCCACCTTCTCTTATACACCAACAAATTTCTGTGGAGGGTATTTTCAACCTTCTGGTCTCAGGTTCACAACTTCTGTGTCATCCCTGGTTCTTCAGTCTCACCTCACTTGACTGTCAAGTTTCTCCACTCACATGGCCAATACCGAAGTTTAGGTTTTCATCACCTCTCACCTGAAACATTCCAATTGCCTTCTTACTGCTCTCCTGGCCTCAAGTCTCTCCCCTCTCTACTTCATCCTTCTAAACAGTTGACAAAATGATTTTCCTAAAGCCTAAGTCTTAATAATTAGTCAGTCAACAGTCAACTAGCTATTTTTTTTATTTATAATTTTTTTATTTTTACCATCTTTCAATATTTTGAGTTCCAAATTCTCTCCCTCTTTCCAGACTCATCCCTACTCACTGAGAAGACAAACAATATAATATCAATTTTATATACAAAATCATGCAAAATAAATTTCCATAGTAGCCATGTTGCCAAAAAAAAAAAGTAAGAAAAATAGAAAGTGAACAAATTATACTTCAATTTACACCAACGAACACTGGTTCCCTCTCTGGAAATGGATAACATTGTTCATCATGAATGAGTCATCATTTCTTTGGAATTGTCTTGTATTATTGTATTATCAGAGTAGCTAAGTCTTTCACAGTTGATCATCATTACAATATTGCTCTGCTCGCTTCACTTTACATCAATTCATATAGGTCTTTCCAGGTTTTACTGAAACCATCCCCCTTGTCATTACTTACAGCACAATAGCATTCCATAACAATTATATACCACAACTTGTTCAGCCACTTGCCAACTGATGGGCATCCCCTCAATTACCAATACTTCGCCATCACAAAAAGAGTTGTCGTAAATATTTTTGTACATATTGGTACCTTTCCTTTTCTATTTTTTGGGGATACAGACCTACAAGTGGTACTGCTGGGTAAAAGGTATGCACCGTTTTGTAGCCCTTTGGACACAGTTGCAAATTGTTCACCAAAAAGCTTGGAGCAGCTCACAACTGCACCAATAGTGCATAAGTGTACCTATTTTTCCACATCCCCTCCAGCACCTGTCCTTTCCTTTTCTGTCATGTTAGTCAATCTGATAACTAGGAGATGGCACCTCAGAGTTGTTTTAATTTCCATTTCTCTTATCAATAGTGATTCAAAGTTCTTTTCCATGACTATATGTAGCTTTGATTTCTTCTTCTGAAAACTGCCTGTTCATATCCTTTGACCATTTATCAATTGGAGAATGACTTGTATTCTTATAAATTTGACTCAGTTTCCCCATATAACTGAGAAATAAGGCCTTTGTCATAGAAACTAGCTGTAAATTTCCCCCCAATTTCCTGCTTTCCTTCTAATTTTTTGCATCGCTTTTGTTTGTACAAAAACTTTTCCATTTCATGCAATCAAAAGTATCTATTATACTTCCCAGAATCCTCTCTTCTCTCGTTTGGTCATAAATTCTTCCCTTATCTATAGATCTTACAGGTACATTTTTCCATGCTCCTCTAATTTGCTTATGGTATCACTCTTAATGTCTGAATCTTGTACCCATTTTGACCTTATCTTGGGATACAGTATGAGATATTGGTCTATGCCTAGTTTTTATCTATGCCATTTGATCTAATCTTATCAAAAGACAAAATTTTTATTTTCTGAAATATAAAAGTACTTACTTCATAGGAGCCCGAGCATAAACCTGAAGCCAGTCAGGGATTTCTGCTGAATGGTATGGATTTGCAGGTACCAGAAGGGATTGGCTTCTTTCAGCTTGTTGGGGTTGATATGTTACAGGAGGAGGCTGATCATACCGGGGTACACTATAAAAAGGAGTTAACATTTACCTTTAAATGAGCCTTAAATCAACTTTTAAAGTTATAAATAACTACACTAATTTTAACTATCTATCAAGCTATTCATTGAGTTTTTAGTGTAAATTTCTTGAACTTTCCTCACTGAAAAAGTAGATTTCTTCTTAAAATTGATCATAGAATCCCAATGCTCGTAACAAAATTGCCTTAAACATGTTTTTAAGATTTTAAAATATTTTAATCTGGTAGATTTTTCAAACTTTAATAAAAAAAGAATGGAATAGATGATCCTAAAGTCCCTTTCAGCACTAAAATTCTTTGGCTCCTATATATTCCTTATATACTAACTTTTCTTAAATGACATATGGAAGAACTTTATTAAAGTGCCAAGCTGTCAAAGTCAAAGCCTTTAGTGGAAAGAATTTTAAAAGTATTCTATTTTAAATTTAGCTAACACTCTCTCAGAATTTAACTGGAAGCACTTGTGGGACCAATTTTTTTTTTTTTAAAGAGAGTAGAATTAATGAGTACTGCAATACAGAGCTGCCTTACAATGTTGGGAAGATCTTCATCTTTTCATCACAGAGAGACACACAGAAGATATTAATAGATATCAGAAGTGGGGAAAAATATGCAAAGCATTTTCTTTAAAAAGAAAGTGTAACATCTGCAATTAAGTAAATAAAAAGGCAAGACTATTTAAATCTAGGTTCAAATAGTTATTTTAATAGTACAACAAGGAATATTCTACCTAACACATAGTAATCTAAATGTTAACAGACAGGTGTGCTAATGTCCTATCAATTAAGTCAATTTTTTAGATACTTCTAACAAAAAAGAGCCTGACATAGTAAGATTGAATCAGAAGATTTCAGATCCCAAGTTTTGAGACCACTGAAAGTAGCTAACAAGCAAAGTAATTTTAAAAATAAAATCTTCATTTTATTTTTAAATACTACTTATAAAGTTAAGAACAAAAGGAAAATGCTACCTACTTCTTATATCAAACTATCTAAACTTCAAAAAGCTTTAAGATAACTTAAAATACCCCCTTATACACAAAGCACAGATTTAAATAAGACTATAACACATAATTAAAGATAACTTAAAATATCCCCTTATACACAAAGCACAGATTTAAATAAGACTATAACACATAATTATTCTATACAAGAAACACACACATATACACAGAACACTGAACAAAAGAGAAAATAATAAACAGGTATCACTGATACGCTACCTAGGAGCACATGGATGTTTATACTGTGCTCTCTTATTTAGATGATCTACATAATATACTCCAAATTCTGATGACTCAACTCGCTCCCATCCTGGAGGAAGTCCCTCTCGTTCAAGAGGATGGCTCCAATGAGTTGTGTTTGTGTTATGATCTATGTAGTACTTTCTTCCTCTGATTGTCCAGTCGACAGACCAGCCAGGAGGAAGGGGTACATCTTCAGAACTGTGGTTTAAATTCCCTAAAGATGTAGCAACAACCTTCCCAATGGCTGAAAAAAAAGAGGGAATAATGACATCAGTTTTAAAAGTACTCTATGAAAAAACAGTAATATTTTCCCTGAGAAAAAATGCCAGAATTACATTCAGTATAAAGTATACTTTTCACAACTCCATTTTTTTATCATGTTAAAAAGTATGAAGAGGGAAAAACTTAATGCAAAATTTTATACTTGATTGTTCACCATCACTAAGTGATTGCCATTAATTGGTTTTCACAAAATTCTCTGAAGATGTAAATTACTAAAGAAAAAAAATCAGAAAAAACAATTCTACCCCTATTAAAGAGAAGAATTCACTGGTTGGTCTACTTTTTAGATATTTATATCATCCTTCTTGGAACACTGATGATTTAATGATACTATATATGAACTTCAATTGCTTCAGAATTCTGTGATTTATTCTCCAAGAACAAAGATAACAAGTCTTCTGTGCCGTGATGAAATGCAATGGTTGAGGAAATTTATCATCTGGCGGCCAACCTTCCATACTATCATTTAAAATTTCAGTGGTTAGTCCTCCGACAACAAACCAACATCAATACTGCTAGATCCAGACCTCACAGTTAGTCTCTCAGAAGTTACATTCAATTAGCATAGCTTTTGAGAACACAGGATTATCTCTAAGCCTTCCACACAACCTCACATTCGGACTTTCAGAGTAAAGAACATTTTGACTGAAATGGTAAAAATTAACATAACTCTAGTTCTGAATCCATCGTTTTAAAATGATATAGCTATCTACTTATGGACCTCCAAGTAATTATACCTCCAAAAAAAGTCAGGTCACAAAAGCCCAATTATTTTTTTTTTAATGAACTCCACTACGTTTTCCTATTACTACCGTAAGGTGTCATGGAAATTTGTGCTTGTAATATATTTACTGTAGGCAAATGTGCTCTAAGGGGATAGAGGAGAGGAATAGAGGGTATCAGGGAACACTCTTCTGTCTCCTCTCCATGATCTCCATCCAGGTCACACCCACTAGAGTGTCTCCTAGTGCTGTCCTGAGCTCTTTTCTCCCTCTATACATTTTACTTGAAGATCTCATCAGCTCTTATAGATTCAATTCAATCAACAGACGATTCTCAATTCTATTCAATCATCCCTAACTTTTCTGCTGATCTCCAGCTGCCTACTACACATCTAGAAATGGATATCCTGTAGGCATCTTAATCTCAACATGTTCAAAACTGAACTCATTATCTTCCCACCAAATGTTCTCCATTTCCTAACTCTTTATGATCGTCAAAGGCACCACCATCTTCCCAGGCACCCAGGTGGCATCCTTGATTCTTATTTTCTCGCACCCTGCCCCATATACAATCCACGACCAAGTCCTATCAATTTCATCTTCATAATATCTCCTGCATACAGTACTTTCTCTCCTCTGACACTCTACCGCAGGGCCTTCCTTATCCCATCGTACCTGGTTTACTAAAATAATCTGCAGGTCAGTTGCCCTTGGACAAGTCTCTTCCAACCTGAGGCCATTTTCCACTCAACTGTCAAAATTATTTTCATAAAACATAGTTCTGACCTATTCTATAAGTTCCTGCCACTTCCTATCACCACTAAGATCAAATATAAAATCTCTCCTTAGTATTCAAAAAATTCATAACCTGTATGCCCCCCTACCTTTCCTGTCTTCTTATATTTTACTTAGTTTACTATTCCCACACATTCTGTGGTTCTTGGATACTGGCCTCTTTGCTGTCCCTCAAATATCTCCTCCCAACCCCAGACATTTCCACTGGCTGTACCTCATGCCTGGAATGCTCTCCCTCTTGATCTCTGCCTCTGCTTTCCTGGCTTCCTTCAAGTCAAACTAAATTTTTTATCAAGATAAAATCTCATCTTCTACAGGAAAACCATTCCTGATTCTCCTTAATCTAGTACCATTCATCCACTGATTATCTCCAATTTATCCTGTATACAGCTTGCTTGTACACAGCTGTCTGCATGCTGTCTCCCCATTAGACAATAATAAGTTCCTTGATAGGAGGGGCTGTCTTTTCCTTTCTTTGTATGCAGAGCAGTTAATAAAGTGTCTGGCATGTAGCTGGTGCTTAATAAATTTTTTAATGGATGACTGACTGGATCTTTCACTTTAATGGTACAGGGAACTTCCAGGTGAAGAATTTCCCTCTACCAATGTAGGATGGGCACCTGTTATGCAATTTATAATATTAAAGAATTGTGCAGAACACAAAGAAGTTAAATGTCTCGCCAGGATCACACAGCCAATACCTGTCAGAGGCAGAACTTGAACACAGGTCTCCCTGGCTTTGAAGTTAGTTCCCTATCTACTACCCCACACTGCCTCTCTAATTTCCTTATCCAAGGAAAGGGTAGGGCAGGAAGAAGGAAGAAATGAAATAATACTGGCAAATAAGAGGCAGATCTTATGCAACTATTACAGGCTTCAATACTTCAAATTGCATTATTTCACCCAAGAATCTCCATATACTTTAAAAATCAATGCTCTAATTAATTCCTAAACTTAAATTTAATTTCCTCAGAAAAATTCTGAAAAGTCAATGTCCAAGTATATCTGTGTATGAATATATGTGTATATATATATATATATATATATACACACACACACAACACACACATATACATGTTAAATCTAGTTGTCTTTAAATATACTAAGCCACAATCACAATTTTATTTCTATTAAAATCCTATTTCTATGATGTTTTCATTTCACTTCTGTTCTTAAGGAGTTTTTTTTAACTTTTTAAACATCAATTTCTACAACCACAAATTATCAGATTGGATTCCATGATCTCTAAGGTCCCATATCCGACTGTGAATCTATGATTCTATTATTCCAACGGCTGATTTTAAATGGTACTTAACCTTTGTAAATATAAAATTACAGTGGCTGTTTATCATCCATTTGCAGTTTTATCCATTTAAATGTAAGCTACTTGAGGTCAAACACTGTTTTACCCTTACTGTGCATTCCAGCACTTACCACAATGCCTGACACACAGGAAGCACTGAATAAACACTTGCTGACTTCCCGAAAGGTTAAATTATAATGTCATCTAATAAGGACAAAGTCCTACTTTCAACTAATCGGTTTTTATCTATTCAACAGCCAAAAACTGCATTCCTAATTCTGACCCTGTGTCCTAGAAACGTAGGCAACTGATCACAAGTGGGGGTGCAGTTAAGTAACACCAGTTTGTTCGGCATTTTGTGTATCTTATTTTTAAAGCACAAAAAAAGATCAGTGCGAGTTGACAGGAAAATAAATGCTTATACTAGAATTAGAAACTTTGCCCCAAATCCTTCTTTTAAGCTAGTATATGTGATTTGTTACTCTCCTTAAAAAATATACAAAGTTTAGGACCGTTTCTAAAACTTCATGCTGTGGCTAAACCTGACTTTAAATAAAAGGGGATAAACCTTGCAGGCAAACTTATTAAGATTTATTTTTCAATATGAACAGGTGAAATAAATATTTGTAGTAAAACCAAAACGAAGAAATAAAAACACTGATGCTTAGACACACAATCTTCTGAGATGCTGACTACATCTTAATCTCAATAATTAATGATCAGTCAATAAGAAGCCAACATTTTCTGTCATGTACCGATTCTGAAAATCTGTAATAGTTTAGACAGTATAAATACCTGATCAAACAGCAAAGTGGAGTAGATTACTATGTTCTTATAGATCATTCACAGTTTTTTTTCTTCATGGCAAACTCATGTTCCCATGGAAAGCAGTTTCAGAACTACTGTTTGGAGCTATTATGTACTATTACTGCTTGGTATTAAGATGCTTTTAAAGATACCAGATCTGGAAGATTATGGAAGCTGCAGCATATTAGGATCAAGAGAAGAGGAGACCGGCCAGTAAAATTTTAAAAATGCAACTAAGAAGAAATAAGAATTACCTATAAAACATTCTTTCCAGTGCAGGGATCAATAGAAAGACAGCAGAAAACTACAGGAACCCAATATTGATGGAAAACTCTGCTCTGTTGCAGAGCTCAGCAAAAGAACAGTCCTTGAGTCCAACAGCAAAACATATGACAGGGGGCCCAGGAGCACTATGGAATGCCAGAAGGCCAAAGGAAATCCCAACAACAAAGTAGCCCCAGAATCCCACATAGGAAAGGACATAATTAGTCTTGACCACCACACTCAAGATCAATCCATTCAGGGCGATATCTGGAGAATAAAATTAAGGGGTGAGAGAGGATTACACTGGGAGAAGGAGAAAGGGAGAAGCAGAATGGGGATAATTATCTCACATAAAACAGACGAAAAAGGCTTTTAGAGTGGAGGGGAAGAGGGTAAGGTGAGAGGGAATGAGTGAATCTTATTCTCATCGGATTTGGCTTAAGGAGGGAATAACATACACACTCAATTGGGTATGGAAATCCATCTTACCCTACAGGAAAATAGGGGGGGGGAAGGGGACAAGACAGCAGGGGCATGATGGAAGGGAGGGCAGACTGGGGGAAAGCAAACAGTTCTAAGGAGGGACAGGGTCAAAAGAGAGAATAGAATAAATGGGGGGCAGGATAGGATGAAGGGAAATAGAGTTAGTTTTCCACAACATGACTACTATGGAAGTGTTTTGCATTACTATATATATGTAACCTGTATCAAGTTGCTTGCCTTCTCAATGAGGGTGGGTGGGGAGGGAGGAAGGGAGAAAATTTGGAACCCAAAATCTTAAAAACAAATGTTAAAAATTGTTTTCACACACAACTGGGAAATAAGATGTATAGGCAATGGGGTACAGAAATCTATCCTGCCCTATAAGAAAATAGAAAGGGAAGGGAATGGAGGGGGGGAGACAGAAGGGAGGGCAGATTAGGGGAAGGGGTATTCAGAATGCATGCTGTCTTGGGGTAGGGGGAGGGATGAGATGGGGAGAAAATTTGGAACTCAAAATCTTGTGGAAGTGAATGTTGAAAATTAAAAATAAATAAATACAGAGACCAACAAAAAAAAAAAAAGATCAAT